CAAGTATACAGTAACACAATAGCCTCCTGTTTGCTGGCCAATAGATTTTAGGTGCTTTTGATGAGGTATGAACATTGGCCAATATTTCAGAGGGGCAATTTGCCTTTTTTAAAACCAATAATTATGACCGTTGACTGAGGGTCATGTGTTAAAACTCCTGGATGCTGGTGAAGTAAAAGAAAAATGCATGTAATCAGTGCTGCAAACAGAGGAGTGAGGAAGTGGTGTAGTGAGTGAAGATGTTGACTTATTCCACACCACATTTGTAAATAATGCATCGTTCTAATGGCAAATTTCCCATATTCCTTTTGTGTGCCCAGTTGGAGTTTTTCAGTAGTACCTGCAGAGTATTGTCAGCCCGTTGGTACAATGGTGGATGACAGTGAAGGGTCCAGTGTGCTAAATAAGGATAAGCCTTCAGCTGTCTTCACTCTCCACTGAGTCTATACACTGTCTACAGAGGCAGATCTGTGCTGTTGTGGCGAGTCTTTCTGGAAGTGCCGTCATCCCGGGGCAGCGCTTTCTGTAGGTTGGACATGGCTGCGGTTTTCTTCAGATCTATAACAGCATAGCACTCACTCCGTCTTGGTGCCTGCTGCGAGCCACACTTTTTGGATGGTAGGCGCTGGTGCTGAGGCTGGGCCCCCCCACTGAGTGCTGTGGGGCAGGGCTCTCCCTCCAGGTCCACCTGAATATAGTTCAGCTGCCGTGTGGGCATGTGGCCATGCTCGCAGCCCCCTGCTCCGGACCTTGACCTTCTACGGAAATCAAAGTTAAATATTCTGCTGCCTCTGTCGGGCTGACAGGAGCGTGGCGGAGGGGGGCAGGGATGTCGTAGCCGTGGCGGCTGCACTTGCTCAGTGTTCACATAGTTCTGCAGAGCATCTCTGTGGATGCCCCTGCTGTCTTGGTGGTACCCGTTAGGTGTCCCGGGCCCTTCAGAGAACTCATATTCGTCAAAGTCCTCCTCCTCTTCATCATACTCATCCTCATCTTGCTCATCCTCCTCATCTTCCTGCTCTTCATCTCGCTGCAGGGCGCTATACTCCCACACAGGGGGCAGTGAGGGCAGGTTCTCATAGTTGAGCAGAGCAGTCCTGCGGTGGCTCATGCCCCGGTCACAAGGGTAGCCCTGAACAGGCAAGGAGGCTGGCCCGTGAGAATGCAGCAGAGAGTGAGAATGACTGTCCCCAGTGGTGCTGCTGCTGCTGCTCGAGCCCACAGACTGGGATACGCTGCTGGGGCTGAGACGCTGCTTACGGCGCAGCCCATTGATGTTTTCGTAGGTCAGCTCGCTGCTGTCCGAGAGCTCATGAGTTTGGTGGCGAAGCGCATGGTGATGGAAATGATGGTAAGAGTGAGAGTTGCACAAGTGCATAGAGGGCTCGTCTCCTTCTGTCTCTGACCCTGTGGCACCCTCTACTGGCTGCAGACTGTGAGGGTTGAGCCGTTCTCTTTCTCTCTCCCTCTCCATTAGATGGCGTTGTGCCGGAGTAGGGCCCAGCCTGAACTTCACCTCCTGCGAAGATGGCTGTATGAATACCTGAGGGTCTTTATGCTCCTCTATGGAGCAGCAGCGCAGGTTGGACTGAGCAGAGCCCTGGCCTCCTCGAGCTGTTTCAGAAAACGTGCTGGGGCGAACTTCAGGTAGGGAGTGCACACAGTGACGCATAGAGATATCCCCTTCCATAGTAACAGTATTTACATAGGTGTGACTCTGCAAGGTAGAAAAACACATCAGAATATGAGAAACTTAGCTAGCTTGATTATTAATACTCAGAGAAACAGCTGACCTGATCCTCCAAACCCATCAGGCTGTGACCGTGCTCCTCTGTAATAGAAGGTTGGGAGTCGCCTCTGAGAGGGTAACCTGGGTAACCATTTGGAAATACCTGGCCAGGAAATCCTGGAGCTGCAGAACACATTTGAATAAGTGATTAGAGAAGTTAAATGACAAAAAATGTTTAGACTTTGTCAAATATAACTCAATGACTTCCATATTAATTTAGGTAGCAAATAATGACAGGGGGACCGTCTTTTTAAAATTTGCACTAACCTGCTTTAGAGGTAATAAGACTAATTATAGAAACCCGCCTCATGATTAATGTGTCTGCAAAATTTGCGGGTGTTTTGTCACCTCTGTGCCTCTCACTTAACCTGAGTCTTAAAATAATCCACAGATTAGATGCTGTTTTGTTGAATTCCTGATCTACTGTTAATACCAAATGGAGAGTTGTCGAGCAGGACTGTTTTGGGCCCATGGGTGCCTGACTCACTGTTAGGTGTCTGTGGGGTGCGAGACATTTCCATCTCTGGAGTGTGACCACCGCGGCCCATTATCATGGACTCCTCCACCACATTGATGCTGTTACACTGCATCAGCTCCTGCAGCAGGTTGAAGATCTCTTCAGCACGAGAACACTTGAAAGCAAATATTCCTAACCAAAGAAAAAAGATACAAGTTAATATCAGATATGTAAAAATATCTAATTATGACACTATGGTACACTGTGTTTTGAGTATAATAAGTAAATTATATTATAATGATATACATATAGTTAGTAACATTAGTAACTAGGTTTTCAGATTAAGAAGTTTCAGCTTCTATCAAGGAGCCTTTTTTCAGAATTGCATAAAGCATCATGGTTTATGTAGGTTACTGTTGCCATGATACTAAAATGTCAGACTTTAGATTAATAAATTACTACAATACTAAGGAAAACATTCAGTAAGATTTCAATACCACAATAGATTACAGCTGCAGAGCTGTTTTATTATTTCTATATTTTTTGGTGATTCCCAAAATGCAGTCTTGTTAAATAGATCTTTGTATACAAATTGATTTTCATCATACATACATACAGAATACCAAAATTCCCTAGCATGTATTTAGTGTTGTCATAATTATAACAATTCCTTGCTTATTATAATAATAATGATGAATAAAAGAGAGTTCTTGGGCTACCCTGTCCAGTCTGACAGCGCCGCCCACTCTCAAAGGAGAACAGGTTGGAGTCGTAGCCGTAGCGGCGCAGGCACAGATATGGCCACCGAATGGCATCACGTTTGCGAGTGTGAAGGATGAGCTCAGTCTGGGTGAGCTCCATGATCCCAGAGCCCAACTCATTCCCCTCATCATCAACATTGGTAACCTAAAAAACAGATCTGAATGAGTTAAAATAAAACCAGAGGACAAATGGTCTGATAACAAAATTGTCCTGCCTTGAATTTGGTGAGATGGTTGTCTCGGATGGGGTCCCTGTACAGACAGCTCCAGCAGCTCCCCATAGCTACAGCAGGCCAGCTGAAACCTAAACACAGTAAAGATGCAATGATTATTTCTGATAAGTCTCATTTTGAAACAGATTTAAAATCAAGAACAGTGGTCTATGCCCTTCATGATGAATACAATTAAAATTGTAATAATAATAAGGATGCATTATTAAATAGCAATTTTCCAGATGCTCCAAGTTGCTTTACAATTTCCCGCATTATTCACCCACTCCATACTCAGTGGTGGTAAGCTACTATTGTAGCCACTACTGGGGCAGACTGACATAAGTGAGGCTGCAAATCTGGGCCATCAGCCCCTCCAACTACCACACTCAAATACATACCACATTCATACTAAGCAATGTGGGTGACGTGTCTTCCCTAAGGACACACAGCCAAATTCTGCCACTGGTGCCCCACTCTGGCACCTGGAATTTCTAATAGTGATAATTAAACAATTTACCAAATATTACATAGCCTATATATTATAGGCTATGTAATAGTACCACTATTTCAAATACCATCCTATATACTGAATAATAATGTTTTGTAAATGTTTTGTTCTAAGACATGAAATAACCTAGAAATGCAAAAACAAAAAAACTTACTCAGTCTAGGCCATCAGTAAAAATGTTTTTGGTTCAAACCCTGGATCTTTGACTGGGCACTGTGGTCCCACGGTACATCTCAGTGACTGCCATCTTTGAGGAAGACCAAACAGTCCTCCCCCTCAAAAGAAAAAAGACAAATGTCTCAGATACAGCACATTTACATTTGATGATGAACCACAATTAGAAATTTGCACACACAGTAGGTACACACACAAAAGATCTAAAGAAAATGTATGATTGAAACAGCAATTAATAGCCCTAATGCTTATTAAACTATAGCCTAACAAACATGTTCATTATTATTTTTTAAATAAATACATAAATGCATGATTATGATGATTATTAGTACATTCTCTAACTTGTTCTCTCTAAACTTTAATTCAGTTTCGACAGAAGGCCTTACATGAATAAGGCTGTTGCACATCTGTAACATGGTATCCATTTGATACACTGATCTTGGCTCTTGAGGGCCAATGGATACATTTGGCGTTGCTGGCCGCTTCGCCCGCTTGTAAACAGATGAAGCCGCCGCAATGTGAGCGCTCGACCCGGGCCTGACTGATGCCAGCAGCACTCAGCACCAGCACTCCGCTACTTCAGGTCAAAAATGTGTGCGGCTACAGCGTTAGCTAACATTTTAAAGCCCTGCTATTTCAGTGAGAGACAGTACGTCAATTTAGCTTTTAACAGCAAAAAAAATCACAGCCTTTTGCTCAATTAGCCAAGCCGACGCTGCACCGTGAGCAAGGGTTTGTTTGCTCCATGCCCGCGCACACTTCCCCATAGTTCAGAGCGCATCGGAGGCGCTCTCTAGCGTCTAACCACAGCCTCAAAAAGGGCTCTGCTCGGCGCGGTGTGGATACAATAGCGTGAGCACATAACTGTGAACGAACAAGTGGATAACGACAGCGATGGTTCGCTACTCACATGTCAGGCACGGCTTTTATTGGCCCTAATGCGAAAGGAGCATTGACACAGCGACCAGGATTCGGCGGCAGCTGCTGCTGGTAGTGGGATGTGGCACTTGAGCGACAGACAGAAGGAAAAAAGATGCAGCGAGAGCAGTAAAATGTTGTTATTTTTCCTGCTATTACGCCCCCTGCTGCAGCACGGGCCTCTGTCTGTATGACATTTCCTATGCAGCTGGGGTGAAAGTTCACAGTAGACAACGAGCTGAGGGGAACGACAAGAAGGTACAGACTGGAGGACCAGAAAGGTGCTGTCCAGAGGGAGGAGTAGCCGCAGACTCTAATAATACAGTGGCACAACACTGGTATAACACATCTGGACAGTCCATTTTTGTGAGTGGATGAACAGATAAACTCATTTTTAGTCAGATGTAGTGTTTTTTGGGGCTTATCACAACTGTCTATTAACAAAATAGGTAGCAGAAATGTTTCTACTGGAATAGTTTTATTTTGTAAACAGATTCTTGTTTCTAGTTTACTCCAAAAAGGAGAATTATCTTAATTGATTTCCCTCTCATTTTAGTTAATTTAAAAACGAAGGCAGTGGCCATCCATCTGTAATTTGTTATTACCTTTAAAGGTTAATTAAAAGGAATGAAATGGTGGGATTGATTCAAGGCAGGCAAGTATTAGGCTGAAAGAAATCCCTCATTAAATTTCAGAAATAGATTGCTCACCAAATGTTATCGCCTAATACATATTTACATTATATATTTATTTTTTTATATACTGAAGTAAACACATACGCAACGTTAAAAAGGATTTCACGTCGTGTATACTCAAAGTGGTGTGTGTTGAAGTCTCTTTCTGATAAGATTTCTGATCTGAGCTGTCATGACGTTCGGGTCACGTTCACAGCTGTATGTTGTAACAAAAAAAGAAAAAAGAAACAGTGGCATTAGTATGAAGAAAACTGCGAGGGGTCTTTGTACCAACTTGCCTCAAAAACAAGTTGTGCGTAAATACACTTATAAATAAACGTAATGAACACTAGTTAATACAAAAACGTGACGTCGACAATATGTCGACCAATCACAGCGCGTAGTTGTGTGTAACGCAGCGTGTTTGGATCTATGGGTTGGGCATGGATCATAGCATGGATGGGGTTGGGCTGACCCTCTTGCATAAATTGGGCTCTTACATGCAGCGGAATTGAGTTCAGTTGTCTGTCAAATGTATTTGAGTCTACGAGAAGAGCTTAGTGTCACGTTATACCTTATGAGAGCATGAGAGGGCTGTTCTAATCAGTGCGCCACGGAGCTCAATCATCAAGTTTATTGAAAAGCTACTGAGAAGCTAGGGTAAGTAGTTAGGGCTGGGCTACCTTAAATAACCCACGAATGGTAGCCCACACCCAAAATCCTGTTTTGTTTACTTAATTCTTAAAATTGGAAACAACTATGAAGATATTCAGAAGATATTTTAGCTTGAGTGCAAGATTTTTTTATTATTATTATCTTTTTATGCCCTTTATATGCCCACCATGTAGTGCATGATTTAAAGTGCATATGACGTTAGGCAACAAATTTCACTAAAACAAAATTAATATAATTATATTTAAGATTATACTGAAATTGTGCCTAGTCTTTATTATTATCATTTTATTTTGGTGATGTTTTAATTCCTATTTGAACAGGAGCTGACATAATTCCATGCTGTTACCATACTGTAAACACTAAATAAAACATGTCTAAATTGTGCAATAGTTATGATTACACAAATAAATGATAAATGTATATGAAAGTTTAAACAGTCAGAAAAGTGCCTTGCTTGTGCCTAAATTGCCCCTGCATTTTATATGGTATTTTCCATGTTGATGACATAGCTATTCCATTTTAGAACTCAAATTACTGTATATTTGATGTTTCAGTAGGTATTATCCCACCAAATTAAGTAATAATTTGAAAAACATAAAAACTATTAATATGCATTTTTGTAAATATGTAATTGTAGTATTTAGTTCAGTATTAATGTTTACATTGCAAGTTAATTATTAATGAAAAGAATAATAACTATTTTTTTAATTTGACTACTGCTACTGAAAACTAGAGCCCGACCGATATATCGGTTGGCCGATATTATCGGCTGATATGGGCAACTTTGGGCATATCGGCTATCGGCCGATATGATTGCTGATAGGGGCCGATATTTCACGTGGGCATGTTATACCTCGTTATAAAGCTTAGACTCTCTACATTCTGTTCATTTAATCCAATTTACAGACGGATAAATGTCCTAATATGTGGCTCCACATCAGTATTTATCTACGGAGTCATTTGTCTGTGTGTGTGTGTCCATACTGTCCCTGAACACACCACAGAGTCGCGTCACTCACGTGTGTTTGTTTACACCCGCAGACACAGATCCAAACACTGAGATTATATTCTTTTTACGGACAATCGGTTTGAGTCTGGATTAAAAGGACATTTATTAGTGCAGATTTGTGATGTGAGGAGGAGCCTGTATGAGCGGTGAGTGTTGGAAATATGTCGACTCTGAAGCTAGTTTTTGTCATTTGTTATGGGTTAGCTGCTGTAGCTCCCGCACATAAACAGACTGTTTTCTATTGGTCTGTTCTAAAGTGACTATATTGGCCGTATATTTGCTACTGGACCTGCACTGATATGTAAATGAGCTGTGAATAGACGTGTGAATTGTGACATTTGCGCATATAATTAATTACCGCGGCGCGCACGTATTTACGGCTAAAGGCTAATAGAGCTACTTTCTTTACTAGTTATGGGTCCGTCGCGAACGAAATGACTCTTAGAACCGGCTCTTTAAAGGGAACGACGGGAGCCTGATCCTTATTGGGAGCCGTGTTTTCTCTTTCTCTCACTTTTTTTCTCTTCACGCCGCGTGCAGATTCGTGGTTTGACAGCGGCAGCGGCTAAAAACGAAACTTTGAGAAATTTTCGTGTATGTAGGATTAAAAAACAAACAAACAAAAAAAAAAAAAAAAAAACCGAGCATATTTGACTGTAGTTTAGCATAAAATAAATAAGTCCCGATTTAGTCCTTTTTCAGTCCTGGTTTAGACCTGGTTCAATCCTGATTCAGTCCTGCTTTAGACGTGCTTTAGTCCTGCTTGCAACAAAACAATCTGAAGAGCCGCTTGGGAGCCAAAAGAACCAGCAGCTTTTAGTGAGCCGAGCCAAAAGAGCCGGTTCTCTAAAAAGAACTGGAATACCCATCACGAGTGTCTAGAATGTGATGCAAAAATGCCATTAAGTCAACCTACTGTCTATAAATATGATGTAAAGAGGCAGAATAACAATAAATGTTGCCCAAATAAACCCAATTTAAAATCCACCAGAGCCAAACCTAAGTTTTTTAAACAATTCAACATTTACAGTGAATTTTTACATCACTAAATATATCGGTGATTATATCGGCTATCGGCAGCTCCAACTTCCATTATATTGGTTTCATATCGGCCACAGCAAAATCCATATCGGTTGGGCTCTACTGAAAACCATTTAATTTGTCTTTCTGTTATCTCAGGCCATGGCTATGTGGAAACCTGTGATCGGAATGACCACTTTCCCAATCCTGGGAGGACTCACTGCACGCTTTATTACACGCAAAGAGGTGAACAACTGGTATCCAACATTGAAAAAACCCTCATGGAGGCCACCAAATGCTGCATTTCCAATAGTATGGACCTGTTTGTACACTGGCATGGGGTATGTCCCAGGAGCTTTGAGTATGCAATGTTAAGTTTTATCCTGCATTAATGTACTTGTTCTTTTTGCAAATGTTGCAGGTATGGCTCCTACCTAATTTGGAAAGAACTTGATGGATTTACTGAAGAAGCGCTGGTTCCACTGGGACTGTATGGCCTTCAACTGACACTGAACGTGGCATGGCCTTGTATCTTTTTTGGTGCTCACAAGCTTAAATGGGTACATTTACCAACAATTTTAACAAGATATGACAATTGTGAAGAGCTATATTTGCATTTTGATAATACTGTAATTACATTTCACCGTTTAGGCCTTAGTGGAGATTGTGCTGCTCACTGGCACTGTGGCAGCCACTATGTGGTCATGGTATCCTATAAGTAAAACTGCCACTCTGCTCCTGGCTCCCTATCTGTCCTGGCTGTGTCTCGCCACCTCCCTCAACTACTGTATCTGGAGAGACAATCCCGAGGAAGGAAAAAAGGAAGAATAAAGAATGTTTTTTCTATTGATTTTGCTAATGTAAATTATTTTTGTTTTGTACAATATAGAATTTTGTAAGGAAATATGTGTTATGTAAATTGATTAAAATGTGCATTTATGTGCAGACCTTACTATACAAGGTATCCATATCAGATTCCATATAGCAGATTTATTTCCATATAGTAATTATAACTGAACAATTTATTTTTCTTGTTTTTTTTCTTGGATGTCTTCTGGTGGTTTAGATGAAAATCTCTGCATTAATGTCTTCCACAAACCCTTTTTTTCTTCATCCATCTGTTGCATGCTTCCTGTAAATGAAAACATACTTCATAATTAAACAATTTCCTTTGTGGAACATAAAGTTTGTCTAAATCTATAATAAAGTGCCTACAAGACATCTGTATTGTGGCTACCTCCTGTACATACCAGAAAGAAGAACTCTACATTCTTCCACTGTTACACCTGTAAAACTTGTGTCTCTTACTCGTGGGAACTGAAAAGAAAGACGTAATAAATTATGTAAATTTTTATTCTATTTCAATATATACCCTGCAATCAATAATGGTGTACAACTCACTCTTTGTCTGTACACATTGCCGTTTATCCGTGCCAAACTTTCATACATTTGGTCACATTTTTCTGGGTCGGAAATCTAGAAAAAAATAAAAATAAGAAGAACAGAAAGAAATTACAAGGAAAATACATATATTTATTTCTGTAATTAATTTGACAGATATGACTGCTTCTTTCTTTTTATGACCAAAATGTAGCTCATAAAAAGAAATTGAATTATATTAATTTAAAAAGAAGCATTATGAAATTAATAAACGAGACATTTTCTACAAAGCCAGCAAGGGCACACTGAGAATTAGCTTAGCCCGGTTTGTTTTTCACTACGTTTTCATCTTAAATCCACTACCTGCGTATTCTCCCCCTCTCGAAAAGTCGCCGCTACTCTCTGTCTTAAAAACGTTCCCAGATCCCGTGCCTTTTTGCTCTCATCTCTTGGCCATTCTTCACATAATTTAAGAAAACGACGATATCGCGTCGCTGACATTTTCGACACGGGTGAGAAGCAAAACAATTTAATTATGAGCCCTGCTGACCACCGTACCTGTGCAACCTTTAAATCGTTCCCCTCTCATATTTTTTTCCTTGAGACCTCAGTCAGTATCCTAAACTGTATTAAAAAGGGGACAGTTATATTTGAAAAAAAAAAATCTAATTTCTGCTAAATTGCGACTTTCACATTCCATATTTACTTCTATCCTGTTATTGTTATCATGGCTTGATGTCAAAATATATTTTTTCTCCACATAAGTGTCTTCTTTGGAATAACCAATAAAACTAAAACGTAAAAGCTTATTCTTACAGAACAGTTGGAAATAGTATAACAACAAAATCTGCTGATCTACCCAGAGTTTTATTTTATTTATTTATTTTACAAAAATATAGTATTACTGAAATAACAGAGAAAGTATATATTACTATCTGTCAAGCCATACCCTCTTGCTTACTTACCTCATTACCTAGTTTTTCCAACAGCAGTGTCCTTGACCTTCGCCTTTTGATTGAGGAAGTGAATTGGAGGAATAAAAATTTTGATAACAAATACACAAGAAAAATCTCCCAAAACAAAGCCCTCATTGTTGCTAAATACAGATGGAATGTGGATTTCGACCAAATAAACTGGAATTTAACCTTTACACTGTGTCAAAAATATTGCATGGGCAATAAAATAAGAGAAGCACTGGTCAAAATAATGTATAGGTCTACCCCTACAGAAGCTTTCTAAATAGATTAAATCATGAGTAATATTGTAAATATTATACAGGAAAAGAGTCAATAAAATGATTAAACAAATAGTCAAATATTATTAATAATTAATTAAAAGCAGACAGGAGTAGAGTTTCAGCTTTGTGATGAGCACAGCTAGAGGTTTTCCATTTAGTTCTTCAAACATAAAAAAAAAATAAAATTGCAGTACTTTTCTTCAAGTTCTTTATGGAAATTTGGTTTACTTTTTAAATATCTATTTTAGTGTATAAAAAAACTTTCCTACTATTAAAACAGAGTTAATAGACATATCATATATACAATTACTTACATTCATACCATATAAGACATTTTGTAATCCTAAATCTGGAACTGGTACAATCAGTGATGTAAATCATCCCAAAAGGCATTATTATACATACATTCAGCATACTCATTACAAAAGGAACAGTTGCTGGTCTTAAATGCCAAAAGTTTACACAGAAAATCAGCAGAGAGATATACTTAACTGTTAAGAACTGTATAATTAAGCTCTTTTGCTTTTGGTGCAATGGGAAGTTTTATTTTTCAGCATCTTTTTGGAGAAAAAATGTAGAGTTGTTGTAGAGTTTCGGAGAATATACAAATGGAAATTGTTCTTGGTTAAATAGTTAACAAATAGTACGATTGTTAATTTTAGAGTTAAGTAGATTTTCACTATTCACCAGAAGTGATGAGAGAGTACGATGCACGTCATTTTAACTCAAGTTAGAAGCCTCTACTATCACAGCTTTAATCACCATATTGCATTGATTTTCTTCAGTTATCTTGAATTTGGAGCTAAAGTTCTCAAAAAGATTCCAGTATGATCTAACAAGTGTATTACAGACCATGCACCCCTTTCTAGCCAGTTTTGTAAATGTATAGATTTGTGTTTATGTAATACATATCAGCAGTTCCAAATTGGGGCTTTGTGGGGACTTAAACTGTGTTTGTAAATAATTCTCCAATATAATAGGTTGGTGAAAGGAAGACATTTTTTTTTTTTTAGGTCATATTCACAGCAGAAATTCAATGCCACATAGTTTTGTAAAGATTTCATTGGGAATATAAAACCAGAAATCCTTTGACTGTTTTGCTTCAAACAATGAGTTTTTATTGTGCCATTAATGCATTCAAAGTCTACATTTCTGTATCATCATACTTTTTGTAATGTAATGTGATTTTCCTTTCCAAATGTAATCAATTTTTTTTTGGTTTATAACTTTAGAACTATTAGATATTGATAGTGATGGCTAAATAAACTAGGAAATGCACTATGTTTTTGTAAGGAATGTGCAAACCATGAAAGAAATGAATTAAGGACTGTTTTAGATTTCTCAAGGTTATCTTCAATGTTAAGTTTAGTGAGTTGGTCCACATTCTTAGTTATGTGCACATCTAGATACTTTACACTTGATGAATGGGAGTAGGAATGTTATGAATGGCTGACAGGTTTGAGTCACAAATTGGAAATAGTTTGCACTTATTGAGATTTAGCGCAGACATTTTGAAGAACAAAATCTACCATATTGTGAATTTTAGAGAGTTGTTCATTATTTTTCATAAATATGGCTGTCATCAGCCAGTTATCTAATAGTTCATTGTTTCCCTAAAATTTATAGTTTTTCAAAATCAGGTAAGAATAGACAGCATCTCTGCTTTAGCAATGAATCAAAGCGGTGATAAGGGGCAGTCCTTTTTAATTCCTTTTTGTACTGAAAATCTGGCGAAAATACCTTGTGGTAGTAGAACTGTACTATTAATATCTTTCTAAATTAAAACATACATTCGTTTAATTATATCGAATGCTTTAAAAAAAGACAATAAATAAATAAATAAATATTGAAAATTACATCTTTTAAATCATCCCAAAAGTGCCTGTAGGATTTTATCTACAGCGTAAGGCTTTTTCTACTCCCTCAATTTTAATTGATGGTGAGGCTCCTCTAAAGGGAGTATACATCACGTACAATGATGAATGAGTGGTGCTGTGGAGATCGTAGAATTAATTTCCAAATTGGTTATAAATTCCGATAACAACCAAAGATCTAATCAAGATTTAGACTATTTGTACCATCTGGTTTGAACCAAGTAAAGACTTGGGTATCTGGGTTTAGAGTGTGATATATGTCATTCAATTTGAATACATTACAAAATTCATTCAGAATAGGGTTGATTGGGTGATTTTGAAATCTTGAAAAACACCTATCTGTTATATTTATGAAATTTTCAGGGCCGTAAACAATGGCAAGGAGCTCTTTTTCAATTTGTACGTTTGCTGATAGTCCGCGAGTGCTCTTGACCTGTATGTTACAGGTTGTCCACCCTTCAGAAGGACTGCTCCTATTACCTCTGAACTCGCATCCACTGAGTGACTGGTATATTGATATCATAGTATTTGAGTAGTGGTGCGATGGTGACAAGCTCTTCAAATAGTTCAAAACCTTTTTGCTGTTGTTACTTCCAGTGCCACTCTACATTTCCTTCAAGGAGCTTTCTCAGAGGTGCACTGATGTGTGACAGGTTTGATATAAACTTGGCAAAACTGACTCATACCCATGAATCTTGACACTTCTTGTTTGTCCTGGAGGTAGCTGTGTCACGCTCTCACTTTTTCTTCATCTGGTTTCAAGCCATTATCTGAGTGTTTGTCCATTGTACTTGATCTCATTTGTCCTTAGTAAACACTTGTTTTTGTTGAGTTTCAAGTTATATTCTCTTGCTCTGTCCAGCAGTTTTCACAGTGTATGATCATGCTCTTTTTTGGAGTAGCCCCACACCAACAAGTCATCGGTCATGTTGAAAACACCATCCAAATCCTCAGTCATTTGTGCTATGGCTCTTTGGAACACATCTGATGCTAATGGGGTAAATGCAAGAACCGATATTGAAAGTACAGAGCTTGGAAATTTCTTCTTCAAGTTTGAGCTGCCAAAATCCTTGATTTGGATCTAGCACATGGATCTAGCAGCATTTTCTTTTTTCATGTTATCTTCTGACACAACGTTATATTCATTCAGGAGGCTTGACCACCGATCATTTTATAACAAGCTTCAGTGCCAGTCTCTTAATCAGTAACATGTCAGGAACCAGGTACAACAACTCCCGTTCACCTTACGTACATATGAAGTGACGTCGTTGCTACGGATGCCGTAACATTAATACTAGGGATGGGCATTCGATGAAATTTTCTTAATCGATCGTCGGAAGAATTAACGATCGATTATCGATTAATCATTAACGTTTTTATATTAAAATGATCATCGTTATTACTATCTGCACTACTAATCTGCATAAATAAATTCAACTTTACGACATATAAACCGTAACTGCTCTAGAGCCACATCAGCCCGTTTGACATTATAATGTGTTTAATTCAGTTTTGCTCAACTTTCACAGAAACGAAACTTAAAACCACATCGCTAATTTGCATAAACTCAGCGAAGATAAAACTACAGCTCTTGTGTCGCTGATGCGGTCAATTTCTGTCGGATTAAAAGACATGATTCAGTGGAATACAGGTTAGTGTGACCATATTTGCGTTTGTCAAAACCAGGACACCGTACGGGGGGGAGGGAGGTGGGGACTCGTCATCGACATTGCGCGACTCTCACCTGGTAAAGCTTTTTCCCACTGGACACCGCAGACCACATATGTGCTGCTTTGTACAGTGTGCACATGGACTCACACTTGTCCCGAACACAACGGAAAGCGTGGAATTTCTTGTACAAGTCATTGTTAAATACACATTTGTGCTTCGGTACGCTGCAGACTGACCGACTGTTTGTGTCTCGCTCCTTCTGAGTGCAGAGAGACACATGTACAGACCCGTTTGGTCACGCTACGCACAGCAACCTACATTCGGTTTGTCGATTAAAATTAACGTAATCGATGAAATTCTTAATGATCAATTATCGATTAATCATGCCCATCCCTAATTAATACATCACAGTATCAAGACATTCATCCATTACAATAGTGTAATCTCATTAGGATATCTATAGGAAATAATTATTTCACTGTGGTGGAAAGTTCATCAGATATTTTCATCAGTATTATTTCTCTGTATTTCTTCAATTAAATAACACTGTGCTTTTTCAGTTTTTTTTTTTTTAAAGAATAAGAATGTAGGTTTCCTTTTAATAGTCTCTCAAACCCCTAGCATTGAGAGATACAGAAGTAAAGGTTGAATTGAAAAAAGGCATAGGATAAAAAATATTTATAAAATATTAAAGATTTGGTTGGTTGTGTGCTAGGCAAGTACACCGAGATAAAGCTCCTTTTAAATATTATACATACATATTCAGGCTAGAGACTGCTTAGATGTACACCTAGGTAGAGATCCTAATTGCTGTGGTTGGAGTTCGGGCATAGGCCTTACTGTTGCTATTTAAAGTAAGATGTCAAGAAGTTTATAAGTGCATGAATTTCACTACAGTCACATACTCAAAAAAATTTAATACAATAAAACACAATATGTCATAAAATGGCAATGCCTTCGTGATTATACAGTTAAACACATTTACACAAAAAGTAAATAAACCACATAAGATAATTACATAGAAAATGTACATTTCAAATTCCACCAACGTCTACTTCCTCTGGGGGAAGAAGTGAGAGGTCTCTGAACCAGAAAAAGATGATTGTGTATGAATGTGATTTTGCAACTCTCTGTTGTACTCCGGCACATTGTTATAGTTATTTATATAACTTTGATGATAGGCTGTGTTGAACAGAACTGCATTTGAATATGCCACATTACTTGGCCCTGCCACCTCTCCATTAGACCATGCAGCATAGGTCTGTGCCCCAGGCTGAGACAGTGTATTAGGATTGAACCAGCTCCAATTCCCTGGACTTTGAACATTTTGAGTAAATGGCTGCATAGATGTGTAATATTGTGTTTGCAGCAGATGGTAAACTTGATTTGGATGGGCAAACCTGGATGAATAATAAAAATTCTGCATAGGAATGTCTGAATGGTTGTACATATTAGCTGGGTAACCTGTCTGGACAAAATGGCCGTACCCTCCTGTGGCCAGCATAGTGTTACTAGGACATGAGCTGACTGTGTCTGCTGCTGCTGCATTTAAGGGCCCTTGACTGACTTGAACGTTTGCATTCATAACACTTCTAGTTTGCCTGTAATCATTCTCTCTTGGAGCATACATAGTGTTTTGTGGTCTGCGAGAGACAACGGAGTAAATGGGCAGCTGCTGACTCTGGTCTTGGCTCTGCTCTGTGGTATGTTCCGATGAGTCCACTTCTGTTGGTCTCTGAAGATGCAACACTTGGCTTTGTTGAACCTGAACATGGGTCTGTTGGATTTGAACCACCTTAGTGTTTGATGGCTCATTTTGAACCTGATCCTGGGGCAGCTGTGAGGTCTGAACTTGACTCTTCTGGATTTTTGAGTGTTCAGCACCAGTGTTGAAATCCTTTGGCTGTTTATCCTTGTTTAGTGAAATTTGATGGTCTGACGCCTCAGTCTTCTTGACTTCATGCATCTCAGTGTCTTCTGTTTTCACCTGTCTCTCCTCTAGTTTATCTTGTGTTTGAACATGCCCTTGTGATTTCTGTACAACTGTCATTTCAAAGCTGCTTGTCATTTTAAGAACTTCTTTGCATAGATCCCATGACATGGCAGGTTTTTCTGTATCCTGTTTTGATGCTTCTCTCCCATTTGCTAAACTGACCCCATGTAATGGAAGTTTAAATGTACCTGCAATGCCTTCATTCAATATAGTGTCCTCTTTAGAAACCATGTCAGTACCAGTATCAGATGGAGGCCCTACATCCCATCTTGTGGATCGTGGTGCTTCGCACTTTTTAACATTGCTTTCTAATGACTCTGCTGACATCTCTAGATTTGCTACGGGTTTATTTTGTTTGATTAAATTTATTAACATCTGAAACATGTCTACTTCATTTTGGATGTTAGAATCAAGTTCTGGGCTTTTTGTGTTACTTCCGTTGGTCGCAAAAGCTGCTACAAAAGAAGTGGGCTCTCCTGTTGAATCACTGCTATACTGAGGTGCACTTTCCTTTGCCATATGTTCTTGCATGTCAGTTTCATGTTTAACATTTTTGGGTTTTTTTAAAGACGCTGTCCCTGTGCCAATAGGAGACCCAACTGCTGAATCATGACTTAATGGACTAGACATATATTTATTTTCTGGCTCACAATGCTCTTCGTTCTTCTTTTTTGATGTGGACATATTTTGATTGACAGAACAGGATGACGAGGTGATACATTCTGGTTGTTCTGGGGGATTTATTGAAGGAGGTTGAGAGACTAACAAATTACTGATTTTGATTAAGGTTTCTGTGATGACTTGACTTAAAGCTGTGGGATTATTTGAACTAGTTCCACTTGCAGGTTCAAAAAGCTCTTGGTACTCATCTTTTGGTGATGCTGACAGTTTTTGGTTAAAAACATTTCGGCACACTGATGCAGGATTTTGAACTGGAGAAAAGAGCAGCTCAGTAATAGATGGAGAAGGCATGGTGCTGGACTCTGCAGGACTGGGACACTTTACACTGAGGTTTTCATCTATATAATGTGATGTGTAATCCGAGTCTGTTGTTCTACCATCTTCGTCTGATAAAGACATTTCCATTTGATTTTCCAGATCTACAAAAACAGTAAAACAAAATTTAAAAAATAACACTGTAATGACCATACACATTTGAACACCTGTCTGATGATTCTAAAAACATTTTTGGTAACACTTTATAATAAGGTGCCATAATAAACAGCAAACTAATCATTACCTAACCCTTTGTTAATATTTATTCATGGTTACCAAAATAACTATTTGGCACAAGTTAATAGCTTTTTCATCATTAACTAAACTCTAGTTGTTTGCATGAAATCTGTGTATTAATGTTTTAACAAATAGAAAATCTCTATATAGCTAACTAATATCATATTACTATTTATTAATAATTAACTAAATGTATGTAAATAGATGAAAATATTTTATTTATAAAGTCAAAGAAGTATGCTGGTTAAACTGATAAAAAAATGATCAAACTAGAATACAACAGGATGTATAAAATGGTATACTAAATAAACTGAAAGACAGAGGGGGTTCAAAGTAAATCGTTTTTAGTTGATCGGCATCCCTTAGTAAGCATACTAAATTTCCTAGCTAAGCCCGTCAATGTGTACACAGCCTGTCTTCAGACCCTGCTGTATGCTTGACTGAGAGCGCTGTTATGGACCCAGTGACATTACGTAATGACTCTAACCCACCAATTCTTCCTTTGGGTTATAGGTTGAGACCTAGATTTAAAAATAAATAAATAAATAAATAAATATATATATATATATTATTTTATTTTATTTTTTAATTAACACAGGCGGAATAAATATTTGATTATTTTTAACTAGGCATTATGTAATTCTTAAAATGTTTGAACTATAAACAACCAATATTTATGCAGGAATGTTTTTTTGTGTGTGTGTGTTATATCCTGTAACTTCCTGTTACATGCAAGCATTTGTGTGTGTGTGTGTGTACTGCTGTCTCCTCTGCCCTGTCTGTTCAGGTGCTGTGGGCAGGACCTGGCTAGAGCTGATTGGCCAGCTAGCAGCCAATCAGGTTGGAGACCATTTAAAAGGAGCTGTGTGCTGCTGTTCTCTCTCTGTGTGCGTGTAATACTTCTACCTCTGCTAGCCAGGTATTGTTTGGTTGGGAGGTTGGTAAGGTAAGTTGGGGATACCTATACACCTTGCACCACATAGTTTTCACTAGTTTATCAGTTGTTGCCACCTTTATTGTTTTGAGGTAACCAAGTCTCTCTTTTTTTTTTCCTTTTTTTTTTTTTTTTAGATCAGATAGGCTAGGCTTTTTGATTTCTTAAATTTTGTTTTCAGTTAGGGCCTGTTTTATTATATTTTTTGGCTTGTTTATTTGGCACAACTGGCACATGCCTCCTCCCTCCAACCTTTTGTTTGTTTGTCTGTATACATACTGGTGAATGTTTGGCTCGAAAATTAAAAAATTGCCAAACCTACTTTGCCTCAATGATGTTTTATAATCGTTGTGCCCCCTGTTGGGTATAGGGGACATAACACTTCCTAATAAAACAATACTCAAATGCAGAAGTAACGTTCAAACATGTCCTTTACTGAGGTTCTCGCAGACATAAACAACAGTGTGCAGATTACCCATCATGCACAGATCATCATCTATGGTAAGCAGGAGGGACAAACAACATCTCCTACCCCCTTACAACACTTGCCCCCATAATTCAAATGGCATATTAAACAAAACTATACATTCAATTGTAACTGGGGCAGTATATGCAGGTATGTAAACAATTCCCATCCACAAACAGGAGCCTTTTAAAAAAAAAAAAAAAAAAAACACTGAACAAAACACAGATGAACCTATAAGATAAGGGTAAACTACCCCATCCCATGACAACACCCATGGGGTTTATTCTTCCCCAGTTGCTTGAGTGTGTTAGGCGTGTTCTATCACAAATAATGACTGGAATCAATTAAAATCACATTGAATTTATTCCCCTTCCAATACAATTCTAATACAGAGCTCTGGGCCAAATCGCTGCCCCTGATAGCCTACATCTACACAGGACTTACATTAGGTGATCTGAACGCCTGTGTTTCCCTCAACCCAGACACATAAAACAACAGTATGACTATGCAAATAATATGTTGAGCAGGTTCACACCTTGGATCCTCCCTGAATCATCTCCACATTCCTTCACTGTGAGGAGATGACAGCCATGTTTAAATTACAGCCAAGTCTATTTTGGCTTGGCGCCAGCCAAGATGACTCCACTGCAGCTGCTCTGCAAAGAATTTCCTTAAAAGGTACACAACCTTCATCTCTGCAAAGAGAGTACCTTAAAAGCATATGTTTCACACAGTAGAACCTTTAAACATATATAAGATTTCAGTGGTTAAACATTAACTCATTGTGTAATATTCAAACAAATATATAATTTCAGTATTTAATATGCACATGTGATGCGCTCAAGAAACTCCACCACTTGATACAGCCTTTAGTCTATATTAATGCATTCATAAGTCCATACGTTTTGGGGGCCGCTGCTCCCTTTCTGGGTATGGACGCTCGCTGAAAGGGCCTGCCAAACTGTCTTTGGGGAACGCTGACAGTGCTGCAGGGGATGGGACAAACACAATCATCTCTGGCGGAGGATCAGGAACAAGTACCTCATGAACAGGATTACCTCCAGGTGCTGCAATGGTGTCACTGGTGTAGTCTTCCAGTAAATCCCCACTGCTGTCCCCAGAAGGCAGGACGGTTGACATGTCTCCTCCATGTGCGACCATCGGCCGTCTGAATTGTATACAAGACAGGGTCAGTCTGTGCCATGATGGTCGCCTGCACCCACTGTGGGCCAGCACTGTAATTCCTAGCCAACACGTGGTCACCAGGAGAGAAGTTCCTTCCTTTGGCATGTTGTTTATGTTGCTGAATCAGTTTTTCTTTCTGATGATGGATGGTGTCTTTCACTGCGGTGGGTTTTAACAGGTCTCTCTTGAACATCAGGGATGCTGGAGAGACCTTGGTGGTAACATGGGGAGTATTACTATAAGTTAACAAAAATCTGTGCAACCGCTGATGAAACGTTCTGTGACCTTGAGAGTTGTTCAGTGCATGTTTCAGGGTTTGGACAATCCTTTTGGCTAACCCGTTAGTAGCTGGGTGGAAAGGTGCTGATTTGATGTGCTGTACACCGTTCACTTGCAAGAAAGTGGTCATTCCTTCTGACACCAGCTGAGGACCATTGTCGGAGACTAATTGTGTGGGACACCCGAAACAGCTGAACTTTCCCCTATTTTTTCGATAGTTTTGATTGTAGTGGTGGATTTCAATTGCCACCTCAGACCATTTGGTGTGGGCATCCACAACCACCAGTAGCATCTGCCCTTCTATTGGTCCTGTGAAATCTACATGAACTCATTGCCATGGTTCTTCTGGGAACTCCCAAGGGGTTAGGGGAGCAAGCTGGGGAATGTTCTGAACCCTCTGACACGTGTGGCAGCACTTGGTCACATTCTAAATCTCTCGGTCCACTCCCGGCTACCAAAAATAACTCCTTGCCAATTCTTTCATGTGCACAGTTCCACTATGGCTCACATGGAGTTGTTGCAGAACAGACTTGCGCAACGTTGGTGGGATGACTACCCTCCTCCCCCACAGCAAACACCCTGACTGTATTAACAATTCCATTCTCCTTGACATGTAAGGTTGAAAACTCGGGGCACTGCTTATGAAATGGCCCTTCATCACCATATCCATGACTCCTGCCAGCACAGAATCAGAATGAGTTGCCCTCTTCACCTGGGCTGCTGTGACAGGCACGCCCTCTACTTGGCTGAAGTAGAAAATGTCTGCGCTGCTTGTCTGTTTTGGTAACGGGCAGAGGAAGCCATGACAAACTGTCTGCATTTTGATGGTCTGCCTTGCGATATTTGATGTCATATGAATGGGCTGGTAACAGCACAGCCCACCTCTGCATGTGGCTCACTGCCAGTGACGGTATGCTTGAGTGTGGTGAGAGGTCTATGATCAGTAAGAAGGGTGAACCACCGTCCATACTGGTGAAAACAACGAACTCCAAATACAATGCTCAGTGCTTCCCACTCTATCTGTGCATAATTGGACTCTGCTTTATTCAGTGTTCGCCATGCAAATGCTATAGGCTTTTCTTCCCTGCTTAGCAATATGTGGGAAATAACAACTCCCACTCCATAGGGAGAAGCATCACACACTAGTTGTATGGGAATATAGGGGTCTTAGTGTGTCAGCACTCCAGACTTCAACAGAGTGTCTTTAGCCTGTTGAAAAGCCTCTTGACAGGCTTCATTCCAGTTCCAGGCTTTTCCGTTACAGAGCAGACTGTGTAATGGTGTCAGTATAGATACTAAATTGGGTATAAACCGGCCATAGTAGTTGAGTAAGCCAAGAAAAGAACGCAATTGACTCACCCTGTGTGGTGGTGGAGCGTCTGCAATGGCACGACTCTTGGAGGGGACAATATGCAATCCATTTGCGTTGATGACATATCCCAGATATTCAACAGATGGCTTGAAAAACTCGCGCTAAGCCCATAGTCTTGTAGTCTTTGAAGGACTGCATCCAGATTACGCAGATGTTCCTCATCGGTCGCTCCAGTGCACAGGATGTCCAGGGAGACCACTGAGGATCTGATCCATGGCTCGCTGAAAATGGGCAGGGGTTGAAGTGATTCCAAAGGAAGTCGACAGTATCTGAACAGACCCTTTTGTGTTGTTATGGTGAGGGGCTCTCTTGACTCTTCCTCAACACCCATCTGTAAGTAGGCCTGATTCAGATATGTTTTGCTAAACTTTTGTCCATGACTGAGTCCTGCAAACAAAATCAATGTGAGGAAGAGGATATTGTTCAGGGGCTAGTACAGGATTCAGCATCACCTTGAAATGTCCACAGATTTGAATGCTTCCATTTTTCTTTTACATGGGAACAATAGGCGTTGCCCACTCACTAATAGCTACAGGTTCAAGCACGCCACTTGTGACCTGAGAGTCCAGTTCTGCATCCACTTTTGAGAGTATGGCGTATGGCACAGGTCTAGCTTTCAAGAACTTTGGCC